TGCGCAGGAGTACTGCGCATGCACAAATGAGTCGCGGCCGCCATTTTGTTTGCCAAAATGGCAGCCGCGGCTCGCTCGTGCATGTGCAGTACTCCGGAAGTACTGCGCAGTCGCGAGTTGGGTGCGTGCGCATGCGCAGTACTTTCGGAGTACTGCACATGCGCGTGCTTGTGACTGCGCATGCTGCCATTCCCCCCGCGGCCTGGCAGAAGACCCCAAGACCAGCGGACTGGCCTCAGGTGAGTAAATCTTGCCGACCTCTGGCATAGATCATGAAAGGCTATAGAACGCCCTTAAAGACATGGGAGTGCCAACACATCTGATAGTTTTAATGAAGAATCTGTCTTCAGGACAAGAGACTATTGTCAGAACAGAACATGGAGAAACAGAATGGTTCCCAATTGACAAAAGGGGCAGCCAGGGTTGTACCCTTTCACCCTATCTGTTCAACTTGTATGCAGAACATATTATAAGAAAAGCAGGCTTGGACCTAGAAGAAGGAGGAGTGAAAATAGGAGGAAGGAATATCAACAATCTAAGATATGCAAATGACACCATCATACTAGCAGAGAACTTCACAGACCTGGAACACCTACTAAGGAAGATCCAAGAAGAAAGTGCAAGGGCAGTTTGTTTTCTTAATGTTGAACATAAAGAAAACAAAAATAATGACCACCGAGGACCTTCACAAGTTCAACCTAGACAATAAAGAAATAGAAATAGTGAAAGCTCATACCTGGGATCAAACATTGATAGAAATGGGGACTGCAGTCAGGAAATCAGAAGAAGACTAAGAATGGGGAGGGTGATTATGAAAGAACAAGAAAAGATTCTAAGATGCAAAAATATACAACTGAGCACAAAAGTTAGAAACATACAAGCCATTGTATTCCCTGTTACCATGTATGGATGTGAGAGCTGGACAGTTAAGAAAGAGGATAGAAAGAAAACCAATGCATTTGAGATAATGTGGGGCTGGAGAAGAGTGCTCAGGATCCCATGGACAGCCAAAAGGACAAACAAATGGGTTCTAGAGCAGATCAAGCCAGAAACCTCTCTGGCAGCCAAGATGACCAAACTGAGGCTGTTGTACTTTGAACACATCAAGAGAAGAGAAGACTCATTAGAAAAGACAATAATGCTGGGGAAGGTGGAGGGAAGTAGGAAGAGAGGAAGGCCACATGCCAGATGGATGGACGCTATTAAGGAAGGCACATCATGTATATTAAGGGATTTCAGGAATTAAGCAGAGCTATGGAGGAGAGAGGGTCTTGGACATATCCCATCCATAAGGTCACCATGGGTCAAGATCGACACGAGGGCAGTTAACAACAACAAAAAGAATCTGGGTTGCATTTCAAGTGCATCTGATTAAGTTTTGGTGGGGGGCTGCCAAAGAAGACACTTAACCTAGGATAGTCAATCTTGGGTTTCCCCCAAGTTTTTCGAAAAGATTTGAATTCTTGGCTGTGTGAATAACCAATGCAAATAGACCCGGTATAAACCGGGATAAAACTCTGCATGCCTTGAATGTGCTTCGAATACATCTGCATCATCAACTCCATCTGTATTTGCAGTACTGACACGTGTAAGCAACAGAGCTTGCAGAGAGGAGTAAAGCTGTGGTTCCACAGTGTGAACAACAAACTCAGGATACGTGAGTGAGATTATTTGCATAGTTGCACTAAAAACAGTATGTGATTGACCCCTAAGTAATCTCTTTTCTTATTAGTTCAGTGGCCATTGGCATTGTATTTCTCAACTGATTTGACCATTTTGGTTAAGTTGTAACCTGTTCTGAAGATGAGTAGGATATTGTTGTTGTCGTCATCATCATAGTCGTCATTATCATCATCATCATCTTGGTCTCACAACTTACCAATTATTCTTTACTACAGTTCTGGACTATCCTTGATTTGGATTCTGTCACAGAAACTAGGGCAGTATCCACACTGCAGAGTGAATGCAGTTTGACATCGCTTTCACTGTCATGACTCTGTCTTATGGAATCCTGGGATTTGTAGTTTGTTGTGGGCCAGAGCTCTCTGGACATTATCACACTGGCGGCAAGAAAGTGGGATGGAATCA